CTCCATCTCCCCCTGCTCCTAAGGGGCGATAGGGGCAGCAGCACCGCAGGCACCTGCTAATGACACGAGCCCCGCTTCACCTACTGTTGGTGCTTGCCCCAATCGCTCCATGCCGTCAACAGGTGCAAGCGGTGCCAGCGCTGTCAGCATGTGGGAGCAGTGGCAGCGGAGGCCAGCACACAGGGACCAGGGACACGGTGGGAGGGGCCAGGCAGGAGCATGAAGGATGGACCAAGATCTGCCCATGTGCCCACTGCAGCCTTGCAGCCCACAGTTCCTTTCAAGGTGCACCAATTCATGCACTGGACACCTAGTCGAATATAATCATGTAACAAATGTCATTCAGAAACCAAGATGGCAGCATAGGTAAACGCCTAACTGCAGCCTCACACAACAATTTAAAAAAATAAAACTAAAATATAAAGTGGGCATTATCCAGAACTACAGGAAAGTTAACTGACCGAAAATTTTACAACTAGAAGGAAAAAGAAAACCAGAAGGAAAATCAGAGGAGCTGTAAAAGCCTAAGGTACGGAGACACAGAGCACACGTGGGAAGAGGACGGAGCCGGAGAGGAGGGGCGGCTGAGTGCCTAGTTGGCCTTCCCTAGTGGGAAGGAGATAAAAGCTTTGGACTATGCTGAACCCCAGTTCCGACTGCACTGATCCCCAGTTCTGGGTGAGACCCTTTGGTCCCAGGCTCATACAGAGGGATTCTAGGCTGTAAGGCGGAAACTTAGGGGAGCGGTGAAAGGCAGAGCCCTGGAGTCTTGCACATTGCGCGCAGAGGACTGACTGTTGACTGTGCCGTTGGATTGCCCTGGCGGGAAGGAGACAAAAGCTCCAGACTGCACTGAATTCCGCTTCCAACTGCACTGTCCCAGTTCCAGGCTTATTGGGGGAGAGACTAGACTGTTCGGTAGTGGGTGAAACTCGAGGGCACCTTTCTTTCAGAGGTGCTTGCAGTGAGTACCAAAGCACTGACTACCAAAGGAGACTGAGGAACCTCATAGGGCGGCTGACAGGAAGCCAAGGCTGTAGGCTCCAGCCTGAAACTCCGCCCCATCCAAGCTGAGCACAGAGGCTTTTGTGTATAGACACAGCTGATCCCCACAGCCAATTGGCCTGGAGGTCAATTCCTTCCAGTGATACCAACAACAATTAAAACTTAACTACAAAAGGCTGTATACACAGTCCACAAAGAATACACCAAGAGTGTCCATGTCAGATAACTGGAAGGCTGATCCACTGAACCATATAGGACACCTTAACACACAAAGCCACCCTCCCAACTCAGGGAAGCAGGGAAAATGCCGAGACAAGGAAACAGATCACAAACAAAAGAAATGGAGGGCAAAAAGCAACTGGATATAGACTTCAAAACCATGCTTATAAGGTTTTTCAAGAATTTCATATAAAAGGCCAATAAAATAAATGAGACCTATGAGGATATGAAAAGGGATCAACTAGAAATAAAGAATACATTGTCTGAAATAAAAAATATTATACAGAATCCTAAAAACAGGATGGAAGATCGCAAGAATCAAGTCAAAGATTTGGAACACAAAGAGCCAGAGGACACTCCTCTGCAGAAGCAAGAAGACAAGAGAATCCAGAAAGTTGAAGATAGTGTAAGAAACCTCTGGGACAACTTCAAGCGAACCAACATCAGAATTATGGGGTTCCCAGAATATGACAGAGAGCAAGATATCGAAAACATATTGAAAGAAATAGTGAAAGAAAACTTCCCTTACCCAGTGAAAGAAAAAGACAAGTCCAGGAAGCACACAGAACCCCCCAAAAAAGGAATCCAAAGAGGACCACACCAAGACACATCATAATTAAAATTCCAAGAACAAAAGACAAAGAGAGAATATTAAAAGTAGCAAGAGAAAAGCAGGTAGTTACCTATAAAGGAGCACCCATACGATTGTCAGCTGATTTCTCAACAGAAACCATGCAGGCCAGACGAAAATGGCAAGAAATATTAAGGTGATGAATAACAAGAACCTACGACCAAAAATATTCTACCCAGCAAAGCTATCACTCAGAATCGAAGGCCAAATAAAGAGCTTCACAAATTAAAAAAAGCTAAAGGAGTTCATCACCACCAAACCAGAATTATATGAATTGCTGAAGGGGGTTCCTTATGAAGAGGAAGAAGATAAAGGTAAAAATTATGAAAAACAAATATGTAACTAACAACAAGTGAATCTAAAAACCAAGGGAATTAAAAAACATGATGAGCAATATTAAATGTTGAATATAATAGAATCAGAGGTATGGAAGGGGAGTGGACTGAGAATTCTTGGGGAAGAGGGGAGAGGGGGATGTGGGAAGAGACTGAACATTAACTGTGCACCTATGGATGAGGACACTGGGGGGTGGGGAAAGGGCAGAGGGTGGGGTGGGAACCTGATGGGGGGGGGGGGAAATGAGGAACTTTTGTAATAATATAATAAAGATTTATTTTAAAATAAAAAAAAAACAAAACAAAAAAACACACAAATGTGTCATTCAGTTAACTCTAAGCTTTAATGAAATGAGCCCATTAATCTTTTGTAAAGAAACTTCAGAACTACCTGCTATATTTTCTAGAATATCCTCATAAGCCTATCAGAATAAACTAGATTTTTTGAAACATCCCAAAGACTCATTTGGATCCAAGTCTAAAAGACTGAAATGATCACTGCAAAAACAAAAACAAACAAAAAAAGGTTTATAAATTAATGAGAAGGATTTCCCTGCGGGATCTAATACAGGCCTCACTTACAGTCAAGTACTCTTGAGTGTTAGTCCCACCAATAAGAATGTACCTTTTTCTGTTTATATGCTATTTTGTTTCCTAGGAAAAGCCTTTTTTTTTTTTTTTTTTTAATGTTTTATTGATTTTTTTACAGAGAGGATGGGAGAGAGATAGAGAGCTAGAAACATCTATGAGAGAGAAACATCGGCCAGCTGCCTCCTGCACACCCCCCAACGGGGATGTGCCCGCAACCAATGTACATGCCCTTGACTGGAATCGAACCAGGAACCTTTCAGTCCGCAGACTGATGCTCTACCACTGAGCCAAACCAGCTTTGGCAGGAAAAGCCTTAAGAGAAGCTGAAGTATACATAAAAATTTAACCCAGCAAGACACCCATGAAAAACACACACGGAGTCAAAACAAGCCAGAGGAAAATCATTTGGGCAAAAAATGAAAAAGGACCCCAAGTCAAATTTATAGAAAATATTCTTTTATTAACTTTTGGTCGAGAATATGTTTGTATATTTTCAGAAAACAACTCCAAGACCAAGTGGATTCTGCCAACAGAGAGAAATTGACAGGACTACTCCAACCATGAAGACGGAAGAGAAGCAGTCCAGGGATGGAAGTCGCTGATGACACCTTACCATAATAGCAGTCAGCAGCTGTGTATCACTGCAGGTTGCCCAGGACCAAACCAGAGCATTGGACCTGCATTACCACCATTTGCTCACCATCCAGAACTGAAATACCATTGCTGACATGTACACATAAAGAACTGTTTGACATTGAAATTGGGTCTCAAAAGAACTGGTGGCCCAGAAAGAAGCTCACTACAGACTGATTCATATGCCTTTCAGCAGAACAATTAATGCTTGTCTCATTTTTGATTCTTATATTTCCAGTAGGACATGGTCTCACTCATCTAGGGGAAATGATGAACAACATAGACTGATGAACAAGAACAGACCCAGAGATAAGGAGCCATGGGTCTGACTGTTGAACCTCAAAGGGAGGGTGGGGATAAAAGGGAGACATCAACCAAAGGACTTATGTACACACATATGAGCCTTACCAGTGGTCAAGGACAAGAGGGGGGTGGGTGCATAAGTGGTGGTGGTGGGGATTGGAATGGGGGGTTGAGGACAAATATGTGATACCTTAATCAATAAAGAAATTAATTAAAAAAAATTTAGCCCAGTTGGCATGGGTCAGTATTTAAGCGTCAATCTATTAACCAGTAGGTCACAGTTCAATTCCTGGTCAGGATATATAAATGGGTTGTGGGCTCTATCCCCAGTGTGGGGTGTGCAGGAGGCAGCCAATCATGATTCTCTCTGATCCATGATGTTTCTATTTCTCCCTCTTCCTTCTTCTCTGAAATCAATAAAAATATATTATTTTAAAACAGAATTTAATATCTGGTAAAAATTGTTATCAAAAACCAGAAACAATAGAGAATTACTAAATATACAGTGATAGGAACATTGATTGACCATCTGAGAAAATGAGATCCTTACTTTTCATGAATATTTTTCAGATTTCAAGCAGAAAGTCTCCTTCAAAGGAAAAAAATGCCACAATACCTAAAGGTTAACTTAATACATTTTTATTTTCATATTTCTTATATGTATACCAAGATAAAAATAGGTACTTATGCTTACAGTTCTCACAAAACAAGAAAAGCTAAAGTATTTACAAATTAAATCAAAACCAATAAAATGCAAATTAACCACTTCAAACATTTATTTAACAAATGATGCTATTTTCCTAAAATAAAAGGATGTTTTACCCCCCAAAATAAATCACAAGTATTTGGTTGAAGAGCAAAAATCGGTAGTTTTACATCACAATCTATTCTTAGACTGCTGCTGTATGTTTTTACTTTAATAATAATGATTATAACACTTGTTCACATAAGTATTTTATTTAAACTGGTATTGATAAATTTAAGCCTTTTTTTTTTTTTACCTCTGTTTTTCTACTCAGAATAGAAAATTAACCAAACCTATTAAATGACATTTAGAAACGTGTGAATTGACTGAAAAAATTAACAACTTAGTTTATTGAAACCTGCATTAATTCCTATTGAATCAAAATACCTTTAGAATTTGGAAAACAAATTATTTCTTTGTTATTATGCTTACTGCAAATGGACTGTTGAGTTACTCTCTATAGGAGCCTTAGAACACAATGGTATTGACTGTGAGGTACAGATCTCCTGTGAGTGAACATAAGATCCTATCAGGTATATCATGTGTACAGCAACAGCTCACTTTCTTTGGTGTCATCCTCATGTACTTTGTGTTCTACAGTTTCAATAGTTTTGTTTTTTTTCACATCAGATTTTAATTTTGAATACTTAACACTATTGTTGATGTGCATTTCACTTTCTTCGTGTTTACTAAGAATATGTGATAAATGCTGCCAATCTTTGCACCCATTCTCATTCTTCAGTTGATTTTTTCCTTCTCCAAAGAGTTTGCAATATAGACAAAACACAGAATCTTTTGAGGTTGAATAAAGCAACCAGGATCTAGGGGTTTTTTCACCATTTGGAAGAATTCGTGTATAATAAGTTTCTGAAAACTTCCTCCCTGTATTGTCTTTTGGAAAGTTAAAATTTCTTACTTGAGGGGGATCATTTTCAACAAGAATGTCCCGTTGTTTAATATTTAAAATTCGGGGCCATGTGCCTGGATCTGCAGAAAGCACAACTGCTTGAGTGGAGTCTTCAGATTTTTTATCTTCCATTTCCTTTTGAAATGTATTATCTATGATGGACACAGAGGCAGGTAAATTCATATCCTGTTTGGTTAGTGATGCTTCTATCTTGCACTCTGCTGATACCTGTGGCTCTGAAATCTTTTCCTTTTTTCCTGGTACTCCTTCTATTTTGTCCAAAAGTGTATTCAAGGATCCATATAATTTCCTCTCATTTTCTTCTCTAATAGCATTTCTTTTCCTGTTTTCTGATATGGATATTTTCTTTGATTCTGTTTCTAATATCTAAGGAGAAACAGATTATACTTTTATCTTAGAATTATTAACATTAAAAAAAATAACGTATATACAAATGCCCAGTAAGCAACCAAAAGATGTTCATCATTAGTCATCGAAGAAGAAATACAAATAAAAACCACCACATTCTATTTCATACCCAGTAGGATGACTACAATGAAAAGACAGGTACTGACAAAAATGTGGAAAAACTGGAGTCTTCCTAAGGTGATGGAGGGAATGTAAAATGGTGTTATCTGCTTGGAAAATACAGCCTGGAAATTACTCAAAAGTTAAAGAGAGTTATCATATAACCTAGCAACGCCAAAATAAAAATATATGTCCACATAAAGATTTTAAAAAAATGTTCATAGCAATTTTATTCCTAATAGGCAAAAAGTAGAAGTAATTTAAATGTCCATTACTGACGGATAAATTTAAATGTATTATTCATACAATAGAAAATTATTCTATATAATAAAAGGCTAATATGCAAATTGTCCCCTTGACTGGGAGTTTGAATGGCAATTCGACCAGAGGGAGGGGCCAGCAGGCCAACTGCCTGTGGCTCCTTTCCTCAGCTGGGGAGGGAGAACATACCAACTCTTAGTTTGTGTGGGGTGGGGCTGGCCCAGTCCAAACAGGGCCGATTGGGATCAGGTGGCCAAACAGTGCATGAATTTGTGCACCAGGCCTCTACTTTGACAATAAAAAGTGAAGCCAAGATATGTGCTACAACACGCCTGAACCTTGAAAACAGATAAGTATATAAAAGCCAGTCACAAAGTATTACATATTATAATATATAATTCCATTTAATAAAAAGACACATTACTGACTTTGGAGTCAATAAAATAAAAATGCAAAATAAAGAAGAAAAAGAACAAAGATGTATACAATGGAAATTGAAGGCCTGATAGTTACAATAGTGTTTTATGTTATAACTTGACAATTTATACAATGGAGCTTAAGAAACTAAGAGTTGGTGTGTTCTCCCTCCCCAGAACAGGCAAAAGCCTGTCCTTTCTCTCTCTCATTCCCCCACAGGCATGTATCTCCTAACTCTAATGGATCTGATGAGACTTATAACAAGAAAAGCATTGGCCGAAACTGGTTTGGCTCAGCGGTAGAGCGTCAGTCTGAGGACTGAAAGGTCCCAGGTTCGGTTATGGTCAAGGGCATGTATCGATATATTGGTTGTGGGCACATCCCCAGTAGGGGGTGTGCAGGAGGCAGCTGGTCGATGTTTCTCTCTCATCGATGTTTCTAGCTCTCTATCCCTCTCCCTTCCTCTCTGTAAGAAAAATCAATAAGATATATTAAAAAAAAAAAAAAAAAAAAAAAAAAAGAGCAACGGGCAGTGGCAGCTTATTCTGGGCTAAACCCCTAAACCTGTCCCCAGAGCTCCATTTTACCTAACTTTTGAGTTAGCTGACATTAGCCCTACCTTGGCTCACTATTTTTTTTTTTTTCATGTAGATACCCATTTGTTCCAACACCATTAATTGGAAAGAGTATTTCTTCTTTGTTGCCTTATATCTTTATCAAAAGTCTGGAAAAGAAAACCTGCATTCTTTTCTCTTTCCTTGACCTATACTTTTCTTTATTTAGCCTATGCTTTGAAATCAGGTAGTTTCAACCAACTTTTTTCTTTTTTCAAGTTATTTTTTCTTTTTATAACCTTACTGCGTTTTAAAACCAATTTGTCACCCTAATTGGTTTTTCTCAGTGGATAGAGCTAAGGCTTACAGACTGAAGGGTTCCAGGTTTGATTCTGGTCAATGGCACATGCCCGGGTGACAAGTTCAAACCCCAGTGGGGGCCATGCTGTAGGTAGCTGATCAATGATTCTCTCTCATCATTGATGCTTCTATCTCCCTCTCCCTGAAATAAAAAAAACAAACATATATATAATTAGTTTGTCAATTAAACATACTACTGGGATTTTAAAATATATATATATTTTATTGATTTTTTACCGAGAGGAAGAAAGAGATACAGAGAGTCAGAAACATCAATGAGAGAGAAACATCGATCAACTGCCTCCTACACACTCCCCACTGGGGATGTGCCCACAACCAAGGTACCATGCCCTTGACCAGAATCGAACCTGGGATCTTTCAGTCTGCAGGCCGACGCTCTATCCACTGAGCCAAACCGGTTTCGGCTGGGATTTATTTTTATGCTCACCTAAAGAATAAGGATATTTTTTCCCATTGCTTTTAAACAGAGTGAAAGGGTAAGAGAAGAGATAGAGATAGAAACATTCATGTGACATCTATTGGTTGCCTCCCACAAGCACTCCGTAGGGTGGGAGTGGTGGGGATTGGACCTGTAATCATCTCATGTGCAGGCTGACACTAAGCACTGAACTGTCCAGCCAGGGGTCTCCTGGGCTTTTGATTATAATTACTTTGAGTCTACTGCTCATTTGGGGAAACTGACATCTTCACAGTTTTGACATTTTCCAATCCATGAATATGATATATCTCTCCATTTACTTAAAATTAATTTTATGTAATTACAATAGTCATTAAACCTGTTACTATATTAACATGCCTTTTCTTTCAGTTTTCTGATGAAGTTCTTTGGCTTAAATTTCCAGTAAAACCAATATTAATATATTACATGCAATAAACCTTAATATTTTAAGAAAAACGATCTTAAAATAATAGTGTTACATGCAATAAACATTTATATCGCAAGAAAAATGATTTTAAATGTTACCTGCAATAAACACCAATTATTCAAGAAAAATCTTACATATATTACATGCAATAAACATTAATATTTCAATAAAGGGATTATAGTATAATATTATCAAAACTGTACTCACATAGTATATCACAAAAGTTGTAGGAAATATTAAAAATCTGTAAGTAACTTGATTACTTGTATTATATTCTAGGTTATTTTTCCCCCTCTGGCTCTATTTTTGTTCATCAATTTATGTTGTTCATTATATTCCACAAATGAGTGAGATGATATATTTATCTTTCTCTGACTGGCTTATTTCACTTAGCATGATGCTTTTAAAGTCTATTTTGTTGGGCCGAAGCCGGTTTGGCTCAGTGGTAGAGCATCGGTCTGCGGACTGAAAAGTTCCAGGTTCGACTCCGGTCAAGGGCATGTACATTGGTTGCGGGCACATCCCCGGTAGGGGGTGTGCAAGAGGCAGCTGGTCGACGTTTCTAGCTATCTCTCTCCCTTCAAATCAATAAAAATAGATTAAAAAAAAAATTTAAAGTCCATTTTGTTGGATATGAGTATTGCTACTCCACTTTTTTTTTCTTTTCCATTTTCATGAAAAGATTATTTTTCCATCCCTTCACTTTAATCTTCTGCGTGTCTTTTGTTTTGAGGTGGATCTCTTATAGAGAGCATATAGTTGAGTCTCGTTTTTGTATCCATTCAGTAACCCTACATCTTTTGATTGGAACATTTACTCCATTTACATTTAAGGTTATTGATATTTTATGTCAATAATATAAATTTATTTATAGCCATTTTAATTCTGCATTGCTAGGTTTCTCTCTGTTTTTCTTCTTCTCAGCAATCCCTTACCGCAATCCCTTTAGTATTGTAAAATTTGCCTGGTAGTGATGAATTCTGTTAGCCTTTTTTTGTCTGGAAATCTCTTTATTTGATTGTCTATTTTGAATGATACCCTGTTTCCCTGAAAATAAAACAGTGTCTTATATTAATTTTTGCTCCCAAAGATGTGCTAGGTTGCTCAGTTGGAGTGTTCAATTCCCATTCAGGGCACATAACATACCTAGATTGCAGGTTCCATCCCTGGTTGGGATACGAAAGGGAGGCAGCCGATGAATGTTTCTCTCTCTAAAAACATATCTTTGGGTAAGGATTAACACAAATAAAAACATCTGCAATGTGTTGGTGATGGTGGTAAGGGCACATTTATAAAACTTCTCCATTCTATAGAAATGACACTCTTGCATTTGTAAACTGTTTATGAGCTATTGTGCACTACTAATACACCCATGGTAGGATCCGAGTGGCTGGCAATGTAGAAAGTCTAGGTATATGGTTGAGGCTTATTTTTTACTCTGTTTTCCCACTTTTATGTCTAGTGTTTGTTCAGAAATAAAAAATTTATAATCTATGTGTACTAGTAAGCCTTGTGCTATTCACAAGATACTTATATCTGTTTGAAGATTATGAGCTCAAATATTAAAAATAGGGGCAGAGTGAGTGGATGCTGCATAGACATGCTCCCAGGAACAAACTGGTATTACACCTAAAACACAGAAAAACTTCCTGAATAATTAATGGAAAACTCGCAGGAAAAACATTGATATCCGAGAAATGAAAGTGGAGACCGCATAAGACTGTTTAAAATTTATTGCTTATAGTAGAACATGTTTTTTAAAAAAACTTTAAAACAGAGAAGAAGAAGGGGAGGAGGAGGAGGGGGAGGAGGATAAGGAAAATACACTCACTATCACAGTACTCAGAGGGAGTTACTGTTTTGTGTCCTTTCAAATTTATTTAATTTTTAATATTTTTTATTGCCGAAACCAGTTTGATTCAGTGGATAGAGCATTGGTCTGTGGACTGAGGGGGTCCCAGGTTCAATTCCGGTCAAGGGCATGTACATTGGTTGTGGGCACATCCCTGGTGGGGAGTGTGCAGGAGGCAGCTGGTCGATATTTCTCTCTCATCGATGTTTCTAGCTCTCTATCCCTTTTCCTTCCTCTCTGTAAAAAAATCAAGAAAATATATTAAAAATAAATTATTTATTTATTTATTTATTTATTTTTAATATATTTTTATTGATTTTTCACAGAAAGGAAGAGAGAGGGATAGAGAGTTAGAAACATCGATGAGAGAGAATCATTGATCAGCTGCCTCTTGCACACCCCCTAATGGGGATGTGCCCGCAACCAAGGTACATGCCCTTGCCCGGAATCGAACCCGGGACCTTTCAGTCCACAGGCCGATGCTCTATCCACTGAGCCAAACCGGTTTCGGCCAAAAAATAAAATTTTTATTGATTTCAAAGAGAAGGGGTGAGGAAAAGAGGGAAACATCAATGATAAGAGGGGAATCATTGATTGGTTGCCTTCTGCATGGCCTTCATTGGAGATTGAGCCTGCAACCTGGACATGTGCCCCCGACCGGAATTGAACCCAGGACCCCTCAATACACAGGCAGAAGCTCTATCCACTGGGCCAAACTGGCTAGAGCTCAAATCTATTTTAATTTTAAAATTAACTATAATTTTTCAAATCTGTTTTTTCTCCAAACTAAAAGCCTATATAATAAAAAGGTCATATGCAAATTAACCATCACTCCAACACACAAGATGGCCACCCCCATGTGGTCAAAGATAGCTGTCACAAGATGGGAGCCTGGTGGAGGGGAGCAATGGAGGGAAACAAAAATGAGGAACATTTGTAATAATATGAACAATAAAGATTTATTTTAAAAAATGCAAAAATTATTAATCAGAAAAGCAAATAGTAAATTGAACTTAAAATTAAACACTAGGGCTTTTCCTAAACATGAAGAAAATGAAAAGACAAAACACTGCCCAGAAGAACATCTTGTCAATACACTATTTTATAAAAGATATGCATCGACAATATATAAAGAATTCCTGTAAGTTAATAATACAAAAACAACCTCATTATAAAAATGAGCAGAAGACTTGAATAGACATTTTACAAAAGATGATATATGAATGATGAAAGGGGGATATTAGTTTTCAAGGAAATGCAAATTTTATATCCACTATAATACCTTAAATCAAAACAGATAACACCACCCAGCTAGTGTGGCTCAGTGGTTGAGAATCATCCCATGTACCAAGAGGTCATAGTTCGATTTCTGGTCATACACATGACAAGATTTCAGGCTCAATTCCCAGTAGGGAACATGTAGGAGGCAGCTGGTTTAGGTATCTCTCTCATTGATGTTTCTATCTTTACCTCTCAATATTTTGTAGGTGCATCTCTGAAACACAGGGATAAACACAATTTAACAACACTGCATTTTATTTTCAAATATATAAAAAATAATGGACAGTCTTCACTTTCTCATAATTTAATACTACAAATCAACTATAATTTGGGGATCTATCAAAATCCACTTTTTGGTTTCATCACCAAGAGTTCTTAAAAAAAAAATAGGAAGAAAAGACTTACAAACAAAAATATTTTACATCACAAGATCCTTACAAAAAAAAACCCAGAAAACACCAAGTTTTGGTGAGAATGTGAAGTAACTGGAACTACTGAGTTATCAATGGGAGTGCAAAATGGTAAAGAAAAGAATTCCTTGTTGTAATGTTTGAAAAAAGTAAAAATTTTAAACACACAACAATTGATTTCAATACTCACTTCAAATGTGAGACCTCAATGACAGACTGACAAAAGTGGAACTAAATGAGATTGTAAGATCAACCTGTAATATTAATGTAAGCTCATAGGTAGAAGTTATTATATACCTAATCATCTAAAATTTATTAAAGGAATTAATTTTACCTGTTTATATTCGTTAGCACAACTTTGGCAGCAGAATGTCATCTGTTGGCCACCATCAATCACCAGGACATTATTTGCAGAACCTTTGCTAGGCAGGTACTCTCCACAATGTTCACAGCAATTCATTATCAGACCATTAGCCAACCTGTACTTGTTAAAGCAGTTGTTACTGCACAGTTTGTGTATCACATTATTAACGCTTACTTCATGGCGAATCTAAAAGAAAAATGAGAACTTACTAAATAAATAAGCCAGATTAGCACAGTAAGCAATGAAATAACTAGTTTCAACAGAAACAAAGAAACTATTAACTTCTCAGTGGAAAAAATATTCTGGAAAAAGACTAAACAGCTCATTTCATTATTCTTTCATTTTTATCTTTGATTTCTTTGTAAAATCATTCTTTATATCCTAAGAAATCAGAAACGCCAATCAGAAAGGAAATATGCACCCCTATGTTCATAGCAGCACAATCTACAATAGCTAGGATTTAGAAACAGCCTAGGTGCCCATCAGCAGATGATTGGATCAAAAAACTATGGTACATCTACACAATGGAATACTATGCTGCCATAAAAAAAGAAAGAATTCTTATCATTTGCAGCAACCTGGATGGAAATGGAGAATTATGCTGAGTGAAGTAAGCCAATCAATGAAAGAAAAACACAACATGATTTCACTCATTTATGGATAATAAAGAACATTATAAACTGATGTAAAATCATTCTTTGATTTTTATCAAAATAAGATACAGATAACAAAAAGCAATAAAATCAGTAATAACTTTCCCAGAAACACTTAAGCATTCCAGAAAATGAATGGATTTAAAAGCTTTTGATACCACCCACTTAAAAGAAATGGATTGAGAATTCTTTGTCTTGTAAGCTTCACTGATCTAGACAACTTGTGGGAGGGACTAAGTGAATCAGTATTCCATACTGGGATGATGTCTGCATATACAAGACTAAGTGGTTCTTGCTTTGCTCAGCTCTGTGGTAACTGAGATAAAACTGTATTCTGGATTTGCATGGCTCTGCAGAAACCAACACCAAACTGTTACCATGGACTGTATTAAGAAAGGACTGCCTATGTGCATGTTTCTTCTTTTTGGAACTGGAAGGATGGCAATACCAATTAAGAAATGTGAGATTATCAACACACTTTCAGTTCACATGTTCTGTATGTTCTTGCACTAGGATTGGTTGCTTCCTTTGTGTCCTGAACCTACATTTTAATTTACTGTGTCTGGTAAGAACAAAATCCACTATACAAATATTCCTATAGGAATGAGTACATCTAATTCTATAGAAACAGATGTATATTTTTTATACTTTGCAAATAGGACATTTGTTTATAAAATAGTTCTGGCATATCCTTTTTCCTCCCTTAACTTCACTGTGCAGATTCAGGACATGTGCATTATACAGATGGCATATTACAGAATAGCACTTAACACTTAAAATTATTCTAGAACCCCTGCCAGTGTGGCTCAGTTGGTTGAGGGTTGTCCCATGCACCAAGAGGTTACTGGTTCAATTCCCAGTCAGGGCAAATGTCTGGGTTTCAGATACCATCCCCCATAGGGGGGCATGCAAGAGTCAGTCAATTGATGTTTCTCTCGCATTTCGAAGCCTCCCCCCCAAAATAAATTTCTTAAAAAACATGTTACCGTTATCATAGATAATAACTTAAGATAGAAAAACTCAGACCTCTGTTAGTTTACCACAGATTGTACATCTTGATTTATTTGAAATTCTTTTTCTGAGACTCTGGTTGTCTTTGTAGGGAGACACACAGTATGTATTACAGGATTCCTGAAAGGGCTGGCTTGACTGCACTTGAGGAACAACAATAGCCCTTTTCATAGGTGCATCTCTGAAACACAGGGATAAGCACAATTTAACAACACTGCATTTTCTTCTCAAATATATAAAAAATAATGGACAGTCTTTATTTTCTCATAATTTAATACTACGAATCAACTATAATTTGGGGATCTAGCAAAATCTACTTCTTGGTTTCATCACCAAGAGTTCCTAAACAAAATAGGAAGAAAAGACTTATTAATGACTTTTAGAAGCAATAAAAAAGGTGGTAGCAAACCCTATTTGGAAGGCCCGGTTAGTTGGAGCATAGTCCCATACACCAAAAAGGTTGTGGATTCCATTCCTGGCAGGGGTGCCTACAAGAGCTAAGCAACTGATGGTCTCTCATATTGATGCTTCTTTCTTTCCCTTTCTCATTCTCTTTAAAATTAATAAAAACATATCCTCAAGTGAGAATTTAAAAAACAACAACAGGTGTTAGCAACTTGGTAGAACTGAAGGATGGGGGATGGTTGATGAGGCAGAGTTGGTGGCAGGGAGAGGGTCATTTTATTTCCATACCCACACTCCATTTTCCTGCTAAGAGTAAGGACAGTACAAATAAGCCTGCTGACAAACTCTGAAAAACTCGAAGATAACTCAAGCTCATTTAATTTGAGGACACCTCTGCAACAGTTCTACCCATGAATTTATGCAGTTCTCCAGAACCCACATTTACAACGTCAGCATCAAGCACAAGTAGAAAGTACAGCTTACTTTTTACACATTATATTGTGTTTCTTTGGAGTACGCTTATGAGAGAAGGAGGAAAAGCAGGTGGTAGAACAAAAGAGGTGAGCTGATCCTTTTCGTTGATAAGCTGTTTGTCCTTTCTGTAAAGGGTTTTTGCAGTGTGCACAAGTGATTTTAGCTGGTTTAATAAGGTGCTGTTGGGCTGAAGACTGGCAAATCTGTTGAGGAAATGAGCCCACTGGTGAAAAAGAATCCACTCCTTGCTGTTTCTGATTACGTGGAAATGATGCTGACTGGGAGATCCAAGAATCTTAAAAATAAAACACAAGAAAAAGTCATGGAACAATTCAAAATTCACACCAGAAAAATATTTAAAAGTCTAAGAATAGTGAGGCAGCCATATAAGCAAGTGGTTAAGGCCAGACAGTCTTGTTACACAATCCCAGGGGAACTACCCACTTTGTATTCTAAGTAAATGATTCTCTATTGTGCCAATGATGAAAAGGGTGGCCCTGGTATTGTGCAATTCGGTAGCCATCAACTCTTAAGTCAGACTCCAGGTTCAAAAGTTGTGCTCTGAGATTACTAGATTGTGCAAGTATATAAAATTATGTCTTGGTTTTCTGAACTACAAACAAACAATCATACCTAACTCATGAAAGTATAATAGTAAAGCCTTATGTTTGGTATAAGGCACCTGCAAAAAATATTAGCCATTTTTCTTCTCTAGGAACAAAATACCAATACATTATAAAATAAAGCAAATACGAAAATACAAAGATAACTATAGAGTGTGGTATATGATTCCCATTGTCATAACAGCTTCCCCATTAACATTTTATTATGAAAAATTAAAAGTATATAGAGAAGTTGAAAGAATTGTACAGTCAACTCCTATATGCTCACTAAATAAATTCCACAGCATTTCATAATTTTTTAAAATTAAAATTTTGAGGATAACATTGTTTAATAACATTATATAAGTTTCAGGTATACAACTTTAAAATACATATATATACTACATTGGGTGCTGATCACCCAAAGACTAGTCTCTTTCTGTCACCACATATTTGACCTTTTTACCCTCTTTGTCCTCCCTCCACACTACTTTACTATTACTAACTTACTACTTTTGCTTTAACACATCTTTCTGTCAATACAGCCCTAGAAATAATTTCTGTATTTCAAGTAATATGTAGACATCAATACATTTGCCTCCAAAATACTTTGAAATACATGTAATTTAATGTTACATTTTAATATCCTTTATTTTTGTTTTTTAAATACTTCTATTGATTTCAGAGACAGAGAGAGGGAGAGATAAATATCAATGATGAGAATCACTGATCGGTTGCATCCTACACGTCCCCCCCACCCAATGGGGATGGAGCCCACAACCCAGTCATGTGCCCTGACCAGGAATCAAACCTAGAACTCCTGGTTCATAGGTCAATGCTCAACCACTGAGACACGTCAGTCAGGCCTCACTTCCCCTTTTTAATTTTCACCCAAAGATATTTTGCCATTGGTTCTTAGAGAAAGTGGAAGAGAGAGGGAAAGACAGAGAGAAACACAATTGGTTGCTTCCTGCATGCGTCCCGACCAGGGACCGCCCTGGAGAGGAACCAAGGTCCATGTCCTTGATAGGAATCAAACCTAGGACCCTCTGGCCCACAGGCTCCTATCCACTGAGCCAAACCAGCTAAGGCCTTTTCTTTTTTTAATCCTCCTGGGAGGACATGCTTAGAGAGAAAGAGAGAGAGAGAGAGAGAGAGAGAGAGAGAGAAAAGTGAGAGAGAAACATCAATTGGTTGCCTTCCATACATGCTCTGACTGGAAATTGAACCCATAAACCAGGTATGTACCCTGTTTGGGAATTGAAGCAGCAACCTTTTGATACACAATCAACTGAACCATTCTGGTCATAACATTTATTTTTATTTACTTTAAAATATATATATATATATTATTGCTTTTTTGCAGAGAGGAAGGGAGAGGGATAGAGTCAGAAATATTGATGAGAGAGAAACAAGGATCAGGTGCCTCCTGCATACCTACTACTGGGATGTGCCCACAACCGAGGTACATGCCCTTGACCGGAATTAAACCTGGGACCTTTCAGTCCGCAGGTTGATGCTCTATCCACTGAGCCAAACTGGCTATATATAACATTTATTTTTAACATTTTAAAATTAATTTTTTTAGAGGGAGAGGAAGGGAAATGGAGAGAGAAAACATCAATATGAGAGCAAAATATTGATCAGCTGCCTCCTACCTGCCCTCCACCGGGGATCAAGCCTGAAACCTGGGCATGTACTCTGACTGGAAATAAAACTAGCAACCTTTAGGTACTCAGGACATCACTCAACAAACTGAGCTAAACCAGCCAGGCTAGACATAACATTTTAAAGCAAGTCTTTCCACAATTACTTCCGAGCCTTCTAAAATATTATTTCAGCCGAAACCGGTTTGGCTCAATGGAGAGAGAGTCAGCTTGGAGACTGAAAGGTCCCGGGTTCGATTTCGGTCAAGGGCATGTACCTTGGTTGCGGGCATATCCCCAGTGGGGGGTGTGCAAGAGGCAGCTGATCGATGACTCTCTCTCATCGATATTTCTAACTCTCTCTCTCTCTTCCTTCCTCTCTGTACAAAATCAATAAGATATATTTAAAAAAATATTATTTCATATGCATTAATATAGGAAAGCCTGTATTATATGGTCCGTCTGACCCAATCATATATTATTGTTGCTTCAAAATCGTACAATCTGATGTACAAGTAATAGTGCTTTCTCCGTACCTTAGGCTTTTTTTCAGCTTCTCTGATTTTCCTTTTGGTTTTCTCTTTCCTTCTTATTGTAGAATTTTCAGTCAGTCGACTACCTGTAGCTCTGGGCTATGTCCACTCTACATTTTAGTTGTATTCCATTGAAATTGTTGTGTGCTGCTGCGGTTAGATGTCTACCCGAGCAGCCATCTTGGATCCTCTCAATAGTGCTTCTCAAATGTTAACATGTATGAGATCATTTGGGAAGCTTTGATTTAAACAGAGATTCTAACTTATAAGGTCCTAAGATTCTGTATTTATCGAATATCAAACTTTTGAGAAATGAGACTCTATTCAAAAGTAGCTTATTTGGCCCTAGCCAGTTTGGCTCAGTGGATAGAGCTTAAGCCTACAGACCAAAGGGTCCTGGGTTTGATTCCAGTCAAGGGCACATACCTTGGTTGCAAGTTCCTCCCCAAACCCTGGTAGGGGTTTGTGCAGGAGGCAACCAATCAATGTCTTTCACATCAATGTTTCTCTCTGGCTTTCCCTCTCTCTTCCACACTCCCTAAAAATCAATGGAAAAATATCCTCAGGTGAAGATTAACAAAAAAATCTACACTAATAAAAGTGAAAGATACAAATTAACCATACCTTTGTGACACCCACCAGCCAAACAGGAGTATGCAAATTAAACAAAGATGTCGGGTGAATTTGCATATACAGGTGCTGAGCGGCCAGGGATGAGGTGCGGTGCCATGGTGACTACACAGGCATTCCTCACAGCCACAGCTGCTCCGGGCCTCTGGGCAGCATGGGAAGGCAAGTGAGAGAATGAAAGGAGTGTGTGTGGACGTACAGGGACTACCTATTTGTGAGTGAGGGACAGCTATATTCCAAGGGACTGTTGGGGACTGCCAGACTGGGCTCCCCTAACTGAGCAACCTCCAATGCTGCTGCAATCTCTCAAGGAGTGACCAGCTCTGCCGCAGAGATCGCACCATCTTGAAGGGGAGACTGGCTGTGATTGGAAGCCTAGCCTTACCTTTAATTGGGAAGAATCGGATACCTCCCAGGACCCTACAACCACAACACATAAAATCCAAGAATATTGTAAGGGGGTCCACAGGGCTGCTGATAGAAGGGAACTCTAGAAATCAATCAGTTGCTGAGGCGGGAAGCCTGAAGCTTTACCAATAAACCAGCTGTGCTGTGCCAGGGAGAAAAGACATGCACAGAGACTTGAGCAGAGTCCCACACAGTGCTGGGGCAAAAAAGTCACACTTGCCAAAACCAGTTTGGCTCAGTGGATGGAGCGTCGGCCTGAAGGGTCCCAGGTTCAATTCTGTACCTTGGTTGCAGGCACATCCCCAGTCAGAGGTGTGCAAGAGGCAGCTGATCGATGATTCTCTCTCATCGATGTTTCTAACTCTCGATCCCTCTCTCTTCCTCTCTGTGAAAAATCAATAAAATATATTTAAAAAATAAAAGTCACACTTACTTTAGCTCTTTTTTCTCTTTAAGTCCTTGCATTTGATTACTAAGTCCAATACACAGGATAACCCAATTAAATATATTCTCAGAGACTGCAGGGGAAAGTTGTTTTAGTGGAACCTGGGAATCAGAGTGGGGAGAAAAGACCAGAAAGCCAGTTCTGGGGAGTCCAAACCAGTATTAAGTGCAGGAGGGAAAACAAATTCTAAATATTGGGTAGAGAGGACTTACAGCCCCGGATGTCAATACAGAACACTGCCATCCAGGGGTTGAATCACAAATTGACGCTTATGTAAATTTAACTACAGGCAGGCTGAGAAACAGACACATTGTCTGCTTGAAAACAAGATTGTGGTTTACATCACAGATAAGCTGTGGAACACAGGGAATTTCAACACTGTTCTAACTATCTGACAGGCAACAAGTGTACCAAACAGAATAGTAAAGATAGTGAACGACTTTCACTTATGCACATTTTTATTTTTTATCTTTTACTTAAGAAACTAAATTTTTCTCACTTGATTTTACCTTTTAAATTATATTTTTGTTTTTAATCAGTATTATTACTACTATTATTTTATCTTTTTTAAAGTTTTATTTTATCAGGTTTTTAAAAAAATAAATCTTTACTGTTCAGATTATTAGAATTGTTCCTCTTCCCCCAATCTGGTTCCCAACCCTCCCTGTCCTCATTCATAGGTGTACAATTTTTGTGCAGACTATGCCACATTCCCACAGCACTTTCCCCCCTCGAATTGTCAGTCCACTCCCTTTCTATGCCCCAGATTCTATTATATTCACCAGTTTATTCTGTTCATCACATTTTTATTTACTTGATTTTTAGATTCACTGGATGACATATATATATTTGTTGTTTATAATTTTTATCTTTAACTTTTTCTTCTTCCTCTTCCTAAAAAATAAATAGCTTTCAGCATTTCATATACTACTGGTTTGGCAGTGATGAAGTCCTTTCGCTTTCTCTTATCTGGAAAGCTCTTTATGTGACCTTCAATTCTGAATGATAACTTTGCTGGGTAGAGTCATCTT